AGACCTCAAATAAACAACCTAATTCTACACCTCAAGAAACTAAAAAAACAAAACAAAAAACTGAGCTCAAACTTAGCAGAAGGAAATAATAAAGACTAGAGCAGAAATAAATAAGAGAACAGAAAAACAAAAAAAGTTTAACAAAACTAAGAGTTGGTTTTTTGATAAGCAAAATTGACAAACCTTATTCTAGACTAACCAAGGAAAAAAAAGTCCCCAAATCAAGTTTTAAATGAAAGAGGAGACATTAAAACTGAGCACGAGCTCTGAGCAACAGGGCTGCCGGTTCGATTCCCACGTGGACCAGTGAGCTAAGCCAGCGCTGAGCTGCCAAGAGGTGGCAGGATGGCTCTGCTGGTGAGAGCACGTGCTCCTAACAAGGTTCCAGTTTGATTCTTGCATAGGATGGTGGGCTATGCCCACCCGCAACTAAGATTGAACATGGCACCTTGGGCTGAGCTGCTGCCCAGATGGCTCAGTGGATAGAGCGTGCTCTTAACAACAAGGCTGCCGGGTTTGACTCTAGCATGGGATGGTGGCTACACCACCCGCAACCAAGATTGAACACAGCACCTTAAGCTTAGAGGCCACGAGCTGCCAACAGGTGGCTGGATGGCGACTAAACTTGGAGCTCAGCTAGCTGCGCCCTCCATGGCTAAGATTGAAGGACAACAACTTGGCTGTTCCCCTTCCCCAATGCTCCAACACTGTTCCCCTCCCTCAATTCCCCAATAAAATCTTTAAAAAAAAAAGAAAACATATATACGTAACAAACGAAAAGAAATGCAAAGGAATGATTAACACAAAGTGAGGACAGTGCCCACAACTGGGAGAGGGGAGGGATACAATTCCAGACACACAGTAGTCTCCTTAGATCCTAAATCTCCTATTTCTTAACTTTCTTAGATATTACTAAATGTTTTACTTAACTTCATGGTGGGTACATAAAAGCTCACTTTACTATTCTTTAAACTTTTCTGTATTCATGATGTATTTCACAGATTTAAAAGTCATCCTACCCACTTCTTTGTTCAGAGTCCAGGCTTAATGAAAAGCATTCTGGTAAATTTGACTGTATTGTAGCGTTGCCCCCAGTAAGAGAATGGACACTGGACAACTTGGCATGCATTTCCCTTTTTAAAGTAATAAAGTGATGTACTCATTTTATTTTTTTAAACAGTATTCATAAAATGAATGCTAAGTCAATTTAATGACTATGTCCTTATACATGAAATCTGCGAGTCCGTATATCCTCTGCAAGTAGCTAAAGTCATTCTCAGATCAGGGCTTTTGTGATGCTTTAATCTCATCCCAGACTGCAGCTTCGATTTTTGAAGTATCATATTCTCTCATCATATCAAACTCAAGCCACGGCTGACTCCATTTCTGAGCTTCTTTCATTTGCTCTTCAGTTAAGTAAAGATCAAATCTGATTCCTTTAATATTAAATTTTGGACGTTCCCAGCGTTTGGACCAGGGCTTAGGCTTCATTTTTACTTTCAGCTAAGGAGGACAGTTAAAAAAAAAAAAATTAGGCTGATAGTCATAAGCAAAATTCTTCTAAAAGTTTTCATTAAGATGAGTCTTATTTTATGCTTAAGCTTCCAGTTCCAAATGTACAACTTATACCTGGTTAACAGGAACTTCGTGGGTAGCTTCTTGTGCTATTATTGGCTTCATATTAATATCAAAAGTGCTGTATTCAGGAAGGGCATCTCGTAAGTATAGCAAGCTGTCATCCAGCCGTTTCTCTAACTTGACCACTTGGATCTCTTGGATTCTAGGATTATAAAGTTCAAAGCAAATCTCAACACCTAAAAAGAGAAAAAAACAGTCTTACAATCTGAATCCTGATTCCTGCATAAGCCTCACACTAGGGTAAGAAATATTTCATCAAGGAACTAGCACAGCGTTTTGCACATAGGAAATGTGACATAAATCTGTAATCTTTAAAATAAAGATGATTGAAAGAAACTAAAATTCATATAGATTAAAAACTAACAAAATTGGAATTAGAATGACAGAGTCAAAAGAATGATGTCTTCTATAAATGTATTGAGTCACAGTCTCTTCAATTCTGATAGCATTAACTTAGTTGAAGAAAATTTGAGTCAATTCTTCACTCTTGTCGTGGTTTATTTCCCAATTACTTAAATAAAACTCTATCTTCTACATTAAGAGCAACAGGATTAACGATGCAAAAAGAGTAAGTACCTTTTTAAGTTCTAACTTTGGTTTACAAGCCCTCTTAAGGATGGCCTAGGATTGTAACACTCTAGAGCCTTTCATATGAAGCAAGCTAGGAACAGCTCTGCATGCTTCCAAGATGCTACAAGTAATAATATATCATCTGTATCATCAAACACTTAAGGGCAAGAGTGTATTTTGAGATTTCCTGAAATAATCCCAAGAGAAATACAAATATAACTATATGATGAACATTAATACCTATTGTTTAATACCTGGATTTAATCCAATATTTACTAAACAACTATTTTGGTCCAGGCACTGTGTGTACAGCAAAAACAAAACAGGTAAGATCCTTCTCCTCCCATAAAACTTACATTCTAGTGGATGACAATCGATAAACAAACCAACAGGGTAATTTCACATAGTGAAAGCGATACAGGGTGATGACATTGTGACTGGGGAAGGGGCAACTTTACTACAGAGAAAGCCTCTCAGAAAAGATGACATTTAAACTGATACTACAGAGGGCCAAGAATACTCCAGGCTGAAAGAATAGCACATGCAAAGGCCCAGGGATCTTAACAAATATGCCATGTTGAAAAAAACCAGAAAACGCCCGTTCGTGTGGAGCATAATAACATGGTGGATCAGGAGAGTAAAGCAGCGATACTGCAGTTGCAGGCAGGGGCTGGCGGCAGGGACACGAGTAGCAGCAAGAGATGGAGCAACACACAAAACTGGGATACGCTTTTTGGAGACTGAGCCATGAAAACTTGCTGGTTGACTGGATGTGTGAAAGAGAATAATTAAAGACAGCTCCTAAGTTTTTGGTTTAAGTAAATGGGTGGGGAGTGTACCATTTATGGAAATAGAAGAAAACATGAAAAGAACACAATGAGAGGGGAAATCGAGTTCTTCTGAACTTGTTTTATGCTTGTAAGACATCCAGATGGAGATGCCGAATTGGTAGCTGTATGTGCGAATCTGGAACTCGACAGGGTCAGTGCTCGAGATACATATTTGGGAACTGTCATCATATGAGTGATATTTAAAGCTAGTGGGTTTGAAAACACCACCAAAAAAAGGAAGCATCAATGGGATAGGTACAGGCAGGTAGGTGACTGTCAAAACGTACTGCAGAGAGCAAGCTAAGGCTTTTGAGTATTCTGTGTCCAGCACTTCATGTACAACATCACAATCCACTGACCACAACCCTGGGAGGTAGAGACTATTATTATCTCAACTTTAAAGAAGAAAATCAAACCCAGGTTTGTCTGACTCACACCTATGCTCACGTCTTTCTATGACAAGGTTCCTCCAAATACGCAACCTGAATGGAGGCACAAGTTCAATCAATTGATCAGTTAGTCAATTCCTGCTCAGCTCTTACATGCACGGTACACAGGTACATTACAGGAGAAGGACCACAGCAACCACTTTCATATGTTCAATTTCTTTTGAACCTAATACTTCACTGCTGGAGGCAATGAAGCATTCAACATTCAGTATGAAAACTTTGGGCCAGCCGAGTGGCACATTGGTTAGGAGTTGGCTTGGGATGCTAGCTCTGAGCAGCAGGACCCCGGTTCGGATCCCACATATGAGGGTCAGTGATGCTGCGCCCCCTATACAGCTGAGATGGTGAACAACAGCTCAACCTGGAGCTGGGCTGCCGTGAGTCGCTGGCGACGGCATAGGCTGCAGTGGGGCTGGCCAGCAGCTGCTGTGAGCTTTCGTGAGCTGCTGTGAGCAGCCGTCCATTGGCCGGAGAGCAACTGCCTCACCCGGGAAGGGTGCAATGATAATACCAACATGGGCCAGTGAAGCAATGTCCTCCACAACTGGACTGAAGAACTGAAGGACAGTGACTTGTCTTTTCCCCTTTGCCGATTCCCCAACGCTGTTCCCCTACCCCAATTCCCCAATAAAATCTTTAAAAAAAAAAAGTACGAAAACTTCACTGTTCCGGACATTTTGATTCATAATCTTTCTAAAATTTTACCACTCGTTCCTCTGCCTTATTAGGCATAGCAAACACAATTTTGCCCTTTTAAAAAATTCCTCTGACTGTTATAAAACTGATCCTTGTGGTGACTGTTGTAATATAAAGCCAAATGGGGGCCATTAATTTTAAGAGAAAGTAACTCATAAGGACATCATTATGTTTACAATGTTCTGATGGGTTATTTTCTCCTAAAATGAATGCCACACTACTTTATTGTCACTTGTCTCCTCCTATGATGCTGCCACAGTTTGGAAAGTCTACTTCTAATGGTTGTTGTCCCTGTAATAAAAGAAGTCTTCAAGGGAAAACAGAGCACCAATGGTACTTAATCAGCAACCTCAATTCTCATACTCTTCTTAGGCCACAGGGTCCATGTCACCCTGCAGAGCCCCCTGCACTTTCAAGTTCCAGGTGTCTTATCCCAGGATGAAGAAAACAAAAAAGAATACTGGGATAACATTTTCCAGAAAATCAAAATAATGACATGGAACCTACCTTGTCCTTCGATAGTATTCCTTAGGATAAAAGTAGCTCCAAGTCCAGTTCCGGATCTCTGGATGCAAATCCCCAGAAATTGGCTGGTTTTCCCACTGGCGTATGGGTCAGCCGTAGTAACACGAAGAATGCTTCCTATAAATTCAAAAGTGAAGTGAACTTTTGCATACGATGCAGAAACAAATAATGGCATTTCTATGTAACTTCATAACTTCCTGAAGAGTTTAATAAGTACGTCATATGGGGAAAACCCAAATATGTGAAAAACAATCTTCTCTATGCCAAGAAAACTACCCCACAAGCCGCTAATAATAAAAGCATCCAGTTCTTACTGACCAACATAGAACTCTGGAATATGGAGCATTTTCCTCCTTTCTAACATATCTTTTCTTTCTATCTGAAATTTCAGAGGATTTGTTCTTCCCCTTGGAGGAATGAATTCAGGACTCAAAAACCTGCAGGTAAAAAAAAAAAAATTAAAAGCAAACATTAAAGACCATTTAAAAAGAATCTGTTGCTTTCTAAAAAAAAAAAAAAAAAGATTATGATTTTGAAGTGTTTTATTCTTCCCTCTCTACATAAGAAAAGTCTATCAAACCTTGTCAGTGCTTATGAAATTAGCTAACAACCCTAAGTACTCACCTGGGTGTTAAAGGCTTTATTAAATAAACATTTATAGCATAAATTAATCCTTACAACCACCAGGTAGGTTTGGTATCACTATCTTCTTTCCACAGATGAAAAAACTGAAGCTTGGGGAGGTTAAATCACTGACCTATTATTATATTAGCTATAAACTTATCAAGTTAAGATTTAAATGTAGCCGTGTCTGTCAGGCTCCAAAGCCTGCAAACATAACCACAGGCCTCATGTTGAGCTGTACGTGTTACAATAAACTCTGCTGGAAAAGGTATAAACACATAAATCATCAATTGCAAACTGACTTGAAAAATAACCTCCCTATTCTCTTTAACTGATTTTAAACTTATGAAATATTTAATCTATAGGAAAGTATAAATAACACTACAATGCAAATTCATGTCCCTATCACCCATCTCAAGAAATCAATTATCAATATGGTTGAAGCCCTTGTGCACCCCTCCCTGCCCCCATAGTTAATTACTATGATGGAATTAACTAAACTTGGCGATGATTATTCCAATGCATTTCTTCCTTTTCCTCAATTTCCTACTTTGAAAATTTCCATACCTACCAAAAGTTGAATAGTAATACAATGAACACCTATATAAATTTCACTTAGTTTCGCCTAATTTTGCTATTTATTTGCTTTATATATACATATAATTTTTTTTCCTAGACCATTTGAAAATGGCAAGCAGCAAGGCCTTCCATCCCTAAATACTTTAGAAGGCTTCTGCTCAGAATAAAGACATTCTTCTACATTTATCACAATTCCTTTATGACACCTAAGAATTTCAACATTAATTCAGTAATTATAATCTAATATATAGTTCATATTTAAATATACCCAGTTGTCCTGGAAAATGTCTCTTATAGTTGTTTGTTGCCCAATCCAAGCTACAAACAACTTTCACACATTGTATATGGTTGTTAGTCTCTTAAACTAGAACTATTCCCAATCTTTGTATTTTTATAACACATTTTTGAAGAGTGAAAGCATATTGTCTTATAGGCCATCTCTGGATTCTGGATTTGTTTATTGTTTCCACATGCCTAGACTAAGGTTAAATATTTTTGGTAAAAGTATTACAGAGGTGATGATGTGTTCTTATTTTGCCATATCAGAATATCAGCTTGTACCACTATAGGGAAAGCTAGGTTTGACTGTTCTGTGAAAGTGGAGAGTTTCCCCTGTACATTTTTTTATACTTTACAGTCCAGCGGTTCTCAACCTGTGGGTTGCGATCCCTTTGGGGGTCCAACGACCCTTTCACAGGGGTCGCCTAAGACCATCGGAAAACAAAAAGATATTTACATTACGATTCATAACAGCAAAATTAGTTATAGAGTAGCAGTGAAAATAATTTTATGGTTGGGGGTCACCACAACATGAAGAACTGTATTAAGGGGTCGTGGCATTAGGAAGGTTGAGAACCGCTGCTTTACACATATATGAGTGTATGTCTGGGCAATATAAAAATGCTACCACGCTCTATCAATTCTCCTGTAGGATGCTTTTTTCACATATCATATTTGTGAAGTTCATCCTTGTTAGCTTTAGTTCATGCATTTTTCACTGCTGTATAATAGCCCATCATATGAATGTATTTGCCTATTCACCTACTGATGGGTATTTAGGCTGCTTCGGAATTCTTCCTACAAACAATACTTTTGTGTGCATTTTTGTACGTACCTCCTTGTAGTTATTATTTTCTTTAATTTGTATACCCTCCAGGGTGTAAAGGTATACAACTTCAAACTTACTAAATTTTGTTAAACTGTTTTCCAAAGAAGTTATACAATTTACATTCCATTTGACTGAATTATAATAAGTGTTATCATTTAAGAGAGCTAGTCCTTTTCCACCTTAAATAAAAAGTTGCATAAGGAAACCTTTTATAAATCTCTAGGTTCCATAAATTCATTTATTTCAAGTCAGAACCAAAGAATATTTGAAATGCTAAACATACACACAAGCACGCAAAAATAATCAAACCAACAATCTAGAGTCCTTTCAGCAAGACTATAATTACACCGTTTTCCCTCCCAAAGATCGTTTTCCCTCCCAAAGATCGCCTTATTAAGAAGGCTGTTATACCGGTCACAGAAACACTTTCTGCAAATCCTAGGGCATCGAAATTTACATGTACCTCCAAAGTTACCAGCATTCTTTTAAGTGAACAAGGTTTTGAAGCACACTGTTTTGAAGAGTAAATTTCAGACACAAACTAGTGGGAAATTTTACGACTCTGCTGCATATCTCAAGAAACGAACACACGGTGAATGGGGAAACTAAAACGCAGCGAGTCCTGGCCAATGCATTTCCACCCAGGCGAGGAAAGAGTGACTCCTGAACGTAAACGGGTAAAATACGATGTGCTTCAGAGAAAAACTATTGATGCAGGCCAAATGCTGGTGTGAAGAGCTTCAAATCTAGGGAATCCCTCCATACTTGGAGGGTTTAGTAAGACTACAGAGAAAGTTCAATACCGGCTCGAGAGAAGAGGGGAAGGCAAACCTGGGTTACGTGCTTTTCACACGCGGGCTCAACAATTCAGCACACAAGTACACAGAGTGGGAGTTCAGGCTCCGCTTTAGAGCCGAGATCTTTGTTTACGAGCAAATACAAAAAGCGGGAATCGCGCCCGGGTCCGGACCTCACCTGGTTTTCTGGGGCGGGGGGCGGCGCTTGTCCACGATCACCGGTTTAGGCGGCGGCTTGAACGCGCCAGGTTCGGAAGGTCCAGTGCTCCGCTGCCGGCCCGGCCCCGCGTGGGCCCCTGCGAGAGCGGACAATGGGGGTTAAGACTAATCGGGCCTATCCTGAGCTCCCACGAAAGCCTGCACTCTCCCCCGGCTCGCGGTCCCACACCACAAGGGGCCTCCGCCGAGGTCGTCCTTTGCTTCCAGGCTCGCCTACCCCCAGCCTAGCTCTTCTGCGCTCCGGCTCGCAAGCCCCTTTCCACTTACGGCAGGCGACAGAGGCCGGCGCAAGGAGCAACGCCCTGGCGACTCCAATGCTCCGAGCCAGGCCCATTGCTGGTCCACAGCCCCCGGCAATGGAGGCCGCCATGCCTGATCGTACAGATAGAAACTACAACTCCCAGTAATCAGTGCGACGAGATTGCGGCATGCTATGGCCGTATGGTAGCTGTTATGGGACAAAATTACCAAGTGTGTCTAGCGCGCTCGCTCTCTCTGTCTCTGTCTCTGTGTCTGTGTCTGTCTCTCGCCTCCCTCGCTCTTCCTCGCTCCTCCCCCACCCTCCCACTGATAGAGCCTCATGTGGCAATCAATTTTCGTGATTCAGGACTCTCAGACTCAGCAGAGTGGGGCAAGTGATGTTCACCAGGTTAATGTAGATTCATGGGCTAGGGATGGCTGCTGGCCAGGAAAGTGCCTTCAGCTTTGTGTGAGTTGGGTGGGGGCAGGGTCCCAGGAGTCACCAGGGATGAGCTAGCAGAGTTTACCAGGCCAATGCAAATTCAGCAGGACGGGACTCAACACATGAAAATTGTGCCTGCCTGCCAGTTGCATGGGAGAAGGATTCTACACAGGGAAAATGGCAACTCTCTCTCCACTCTTCACACTGCAGCCACACAACTCAGTCTCTCCCTGTGTGTCTCTGACACCTCCAGGGTAACTGTCCCTGTATAGGAGCCCAGGGTGAGTGCCTGCAAGTGAGTCTGTGCGCTGGCCCTTTAAGAGGATGTCTGGGTTTCCAGTAGCCTCCTATGTCACCTGGAGCAGCAGAATCCACACTGTTTTCCACACCCAGATGTTGTGCGGGCTCCTCTTCTTGGCACTGATACTCTGGGCTGGGGAACCCAGTGTGGGGCTGGGGTCCCTCTTCTGGGGAGGATATGCATGGACATGATATCCCTCCTGATCCTCAACCATCACACTCAGGTGTGGGGCCAGCCTGTTTCTCATCTGTGTCCCTCCTATCGGTTTCATTGTGGCTCCTTCTTTATATCCTTCTGTTCAGCTAGTCTTCAGATGGTTTACCACATTGATTTTTCTATAATTTAGTTGTAATTTTAATGTCATGGGAAGAGTCAAGTACAGCATTTATCTACTCCGACATCATGTCCTTCTCTAGTAATGCTTTTTTTTTTTACTAGTTTTTTCGATGAGAATTTGTGGGTGGTAAACTCCCATGGTCTTTGCTTATCTCAAAAGTTTACTTGTCTCCATTTGGAATTATAGTATAGGTACATTTTTCTTCCTACCTTCCTTCCCCTGCCCCCTTCATTTTAACAAATAGATCAGTGGCGTGTTGGAGCCCACTTGTACTAGCACATGAAAACCACTTGTCTTTATTGCTTCCCAAATCCATGTTCAGTGACACTTAGCTTGAAACTGGATGATGGAAATACATACACAATGGAAATTGCCAAGTGCTACAAATCAGAGTTTTCTCCTGTTTTTGGTTTTGAGAGCTGGTCATTAAACATTTGCCAGCACATTGCTGTATATTGAGCACCTACAACATGCCAGACCCTGTTTTAGTTGTTTGATCCATCAGGGCACAAAACAGATAAAAATCCTTCTTTTTAGAAACTTGTAGTCTAGTGGACAGGAATAGCAATAATTAATTAGTTACTTAGTTAATAGTATTTTTAATGATCATAATGCCTGTGGTAAAAATATAAAGTTGAGGAGGGGATAAGGAGTGTTGTTGGGTGGTGGGCAGATTTGCAAGGGAAGTCTCACCAGGAAAGTGAAATCTGAGCAAAGCTCTGAGGATGAGAGGGAACCAGATCTACAGATATTTGGTGGAAGAGTGGACTAAGGAGAGGAAACAAAAGCAAAACCCTGAGGTGGGAGGGTGTCCAATATCTGATGTGTTCAAGGAACATCAAGGAGTCTATTGTGCTTGAGCAAGAAGAAGGTTGAGGATGTGGTGGGGAAGAATACTTTGAGATAAATTCAAAGAAGAACAAAAATTAGCATGCATAAGATAATGTCATTCAAGGTAAAGACTTATCTTTTTTTCCTGAATGATATGGGAAGAATATTGGGGGGTTTTGGTAAACAAGTATTTTAAATCTGTCATAGATTTAAAATAACCACTCTAGCAGCTGTGTTGAAAATAGACTGTAAGCCTTAGTGACATGATTAACCAATAGAACGTGGCATAAGTGATGTCCTAGAAGTTTCAAGGATGAGTGATAAGAACCCTTGCAGCTTCTGCCTGGGTCTCTGGAATATTTACTTTGGGCATTAGCAACCATGTAAGTAGATCTAGGACTCTGAGACTACCATGCTGTAAGGCACTTAGAACCCTTCATAGAAATTGAAATGAATCACTGGCTCTTCACTATAGAAACATGCTAGCCTAGGCACCAAACCTGTAAATGAATAAGCCTTATACGCCTCATGCCTCAGACTGCCCAGATGAGCATGTCACCCCCAAAACAGAGTTAGAGAATAATAAACTGTTATTTTAAGCCATTGGTTTTAGGGAAATTTATTATGCAACAATAGGTAATTTAAAGCAATGAGGCTATATGAGCTCATGAGAGAGTGAGAGGAGATAAAGAAAGGATGAGATCCAATAATTGAACGCTGGAAGTTCCACCATTTAGATGTTGTAGAGATCATGAAGAACAAACCAAAAAAATAGTAAGGGCAAGATGGACAGTTATTTTCCTTCAGTGCTTTAAAGATTTTACTCCATTATCTTCTGAAATCTTTTTCTGGAAAAGGTAAATCTCCTGTCACTCTTGGTATTTCTTTTAAATAATATATCTTTTCTCCTAGCTTTTAAGATTTTCTATTTTTTTATATATTATTTAATTCCACTCTGTAGTTAAGTATGAATTTATTTTTAATTTATCTTAGAAGTTGGAGTCCATGTTTTATTTGAGGACATGTGTTTTCAATTTTGGAGAAATTCCAGTCATTAATTTGGCAAAAATTTCTCCTCTACTCTTTGCTGTAGTCTGTGAAACTCCCATTAGAGATATGTTCACATGTCTCAATTTTTTCTCCATGTCTCTTACTGCTCTAAGAGTATGTAGGAATGTTTATGAGTGTGTGTGTGTATGCATGTACATGCACATATGTGTACGTGTGTATGTATAATTTTTTTCTGCCCTCACTGTTGTGCTTTGGGTGAATCCTTATACTATTATCTGATTAACTAATTCTTTCTTCAACTGTACTCTTTCTCAAATTCATCTTATTCATTGATTTAAAACATTTTAATGTTCATATTTTTAAGATTTCTAAATATCTCTTTTCTATGTCCACTATCCTTTTAAAAATTTCTGCTTGCTCGTCTTTATTTTCTTTTTTATGGCTAATTTTCTTCATTTATGTCATTGAAGAACCTAACATGTTTATTTAAACGTCATTCAGATTGTTCTATAAAATTAATTTTACTGAGAATACATTCAAGCTTATATTATGTTTATTAAATGCCTTTCTTAGAATTAGACATCATCTTTTATTTAAAATTTTGTTTCTTCTATTCTTTTGGCCTCCCGTGGCTCCTGTAATCTGCTTGCCTGTGAGAGGTGGTAGTAGTTCTCTTCAGCCTGCCTTCATGAACTGCAGATTCTTCACCCACCCCTGTCTTCGGCAGTGGGTCTAGCTCTGATTCCCTGCCCGGCCTAGTGGATCATTTTTATTCCCGATTTCTTCAAGGGAACTGAACTTCTAATTGCTCTTGTTTACTCCTTGATCCAGAAAGAGTCCAGATGCCATTTTGCATTTCTTTTCCATGTCTGTTCCATTTGTCTCCTGTTTTTGAACCATTTTTACTTGTTTTGTTATTTTTCCATATATACATCCACACACACATATACATACGTCACTGCTATGTATTTGGAGCAGAAGGAATGTTTCTAAGTATGAATTTTCTGGTCTATCTTCCCTGAGCTCTTTCTTTATATCCTTTTGTTGGAGGATTAGTGAAGAGTTTGTTACCTGAATTCTGCTAATTGACCCTATTCCCCTCTTGGGTTTTTGTATAAAGATTACAAAGTAGAGTCCAAATATGAATCAAGAAGTACAAAGCATTCTAAAGTACAGGCCTATCGAGTAAAATGAATTGGAGAACTCAGTGGGGCCTCTTCTCCTCTTTCTAATCCTAGACCTTGGGATCTACTAACTCTGACTTCCTACTGTCCTCTCCCACCCCATCCCACTTACTCATCCTGAGGCTTAAAATAGCAGTCACTCTTTGCTGGAGTGGTGATGGTGGGGATATCTACCTTAGTGATCTTACTTCAAGAGCTAAGTGCGCCAAGATGTCAGGGGATGTGATGTGTTTACAGAAACCGTACCTGTACCTGCAGATATCAGCTCTCTCCAATCCTCCAATTATACCTGTCACTCTTCCTTCCTATGGGAAGATCAGTTCAGGTTCTACACAGGGCCTGGAAGTGTTTGCACCTGGCCTGTCCATACCTTGTAAAGACATAAGGAGCTGAGAATACAGTATTCCCTTGAGACTTCTGAGCCAATAATTCCATTTCTGGAAATCAATTCTAAGGAAATAATCAGAAGTGTGGTCAAGGTTTATGAATAAATATACTTACCTTACTTTTACTTATAATAGTGAAACAATTGATGGAAAAACCCTAGTGTCCAACAATTATGGTTGATTTATATCATGGAATGTTATGTAGTTTTTATTTTCAGGGTAGTTAGTGACATGTACATGGTCACAATAAAATATTAAATGGAAGAAAGCAGAATTAAATGTTACAATAAATGTTGTAATTATAAATTTTAAAGCAGAATAAGAAACATTGAAAAAAGTTTACAGAAAAAAGAACAGGAAGAAAATATATCCATGTATCAATAGATTTCCCTTCCATACTTTCAAAAGTTTCTTAGGTAATTATATATTACTGTTATGATCAGAAAAAATACTGTTAAATTAAGAGACATCTGTCCACTAACAGATAATAAATTTTGATATATAAAGTGACATAATGAAAAATTGGGGTTTAAGCTGACATTGAAATAACTATTATGAAGAAGTTTTATTGTATGTAACTATATATAACTTTCTGTTCTAGATAGTTAATGTAGAAATAGGAAATGAATATTAATTGTTGCATATATTA